GGGACACTTTTAAATTTAAATATATTACGTTCTCAAAGAGAAAGAGGTAGAAAGAAAAAAGCAAAAGTAAATCTTAGTGAAAAATTTATTAATAAATTATTATCATTTTTTTTGTATTTAATATTCAATTTAATTGTTTTTTGAGTATTTTTACTGAATTTAAAATATAAATTATAATATAAAATTGTTTTATTACTTAATTTAAGATATAATTACTTAATTTAGGGTGTAAAAATTAAAATATAGTATAAATATAATTATTAAATAATTACAAATTAGTCATTCAAATAAATTAAAACACATAAACAGAATTCTTCATTCTCAATTATAAAATTAAATTATTATTTTTCTAATTTATTTAATATCTTAAATATTTCATCTTCCATTCTGTCAATACTTTCATTTATGCTACCTTTTCCTTTAATACTCCTGGTAAGNTTACTAACCAATGATTCATAACTTTTATTTAAGTCATCAATATTTATATCCATAAGGGGGTATGATAAATGAAAATGAATTTATAAATTTAATAAACAAAGATGAAGACATAGAAGAAATAGAGAATGAAGAAGAGATTANAATCAATGAAGGTATTTATTTGACTGTTAAGTACATAAACAAAGTGTTTTTAGGTCAAAAAGAGGTTAAAGAAAATATTTTTGTAGATAGAAAAAAAAGGAGAAAATTTTTTTAAAAATAAAATAAATAAATTATTAAAAATATTTATAATTTATTTGTATGTAAAAATAATTTTCTTTTTCATTTGATATGCATCTTCTTCGTCAGGGTAGTAATTAGGTATTCTTTGAAAAACAGTAAAACCTAACCTTTCATAAAACTTAATAGCTAAGTCATTACCTATCCTAACATATAAAGTAATATAAGACAGTTTATAAAGGACCATTTGTCTTATTACCTCATTCATTAAGGCAGTACCAAACTTAAACCCTCTAAAATTATCTATGATTGCTATAGAAATAATATGACCAGCCTCTCCTTCTTTCTTTCCTAACACATATCCAATAACCACATCATTTATCTCTGCAACAAGACAGAAATCAGGAAAGAAAGCAATACAATAAAAGAAAAACTCTGCTGGATAGTTTTCAGGCAAGNTTTTTCTGTTTATTTTGTCTACGGCTGAGATGTCAGATGCTTTCATTTTACGTACATGCATAAATTAAAGGATAAATATTTTTTAAAAATAAAAAATTAAATTAAAAGGGTTGTACTCCCAAGAGTAAGCCTCATTTTGTTTGGTAGACCAATACCTAACAGCATAACTATTTCAAATGACTAAACTTTCCTTTTCAGGGTGCGTTTCTGCGATTTGTCCGAGGACTTTCCCCAGAGTAAAAAATTACTCCGATGCTGTTCTTTGGGATTACAGGGGTATGAATAAATTTTCTATAAAAATAAAAAAATTTTAGCTACTATAAAATATAATATTAAAAATTAATAAATTTAAAATTAAAACTAAAAAATTAAAAATTAAAATATAATATTAAAACTAAAAAATTAAAAATTAAGTAAAAATTAAGTAAAAATTAAGTAAAAATTAAAAATTAAAAATAAAATTGAAAAATAATATAAAAATAATATAAAAATTAAAATACTTTTTTATTCACTTTTTATTTCTTTTATTTTGAGAATATTCTTCATAAAAATTAATCATTTCCTCTCCATTAATCTCATTTCTTTTAATATTTCCTGTCATAATATCAATTTTATAAATAGTATTTCTTAAAACATCTAATTCTTTATTATATTTACTTTCTTTAAGTGCACTGTAAATTTCTTCTAAAATTTGTTTATTTTTAAGGTACATTGCTAATTTTAAAATCATTTTAAAAGTGTATGAACACAAAGGTACTTTTTTATAAAAAAGTAAAGCTGATTCATAATCTTTTTTTAAGTAAAGAGTGTTTCCTAAATTAATATTAGAATAAGGTAATTCTAAACTGACCTTTTGAAAAATAATCTCTGCTTCGTTTAACTGATTTTTTTCTAAGAAACACAGTCCTGCGCCATTTTTAGCATAAATTGAATTTTTATCTTTAAAGTATTGAAGTGCCTCAGCAGTATTACTTTTATAATTAGCTAAATAATAAATAAGCTCATCAGATTTATCAACCATTTCATTCTTTCCATTCCTCAAATAGTTAATTTGTAAANGTTCGCCAGAATAATTTTTATCTTCTAAATTTTTTAAAAATGAATTATAAAAATTGTCAGATTGCAAGAAATCAATGTTATTTTCTAAAACACTCAAATTTTCTGATTGTATTTCTTTAGCGTAATTTAAAATAGCAAGAATGAAATCTTTTTGTTCTTTTAATGCATTGTTTAAAGAAAGAAAATCACAATTTTGTTCTGTTATGCTTAAAATGTTTTCTTTTGCTATTTTTTTACACTCATTTTTTTCTCTTGGCAAAGTAAAAGGAAGAAATTCTTTTGAATAAATTTTATACCTCTCCAATTCTAACCACATATAAAAACATACGTTGTTTAATACGTTTGATTGACTGACATATTTGTTACCAATCAGTTTTCTTAAAGTAAAAAATGTTGGTGTTTTCATAGCTTTATAAAAATCACTAATTTCGTTATCAAAGTTGTCAGTTAACCCCAATTTATTACTCAAATAAGCAGAAAAATTGGTTGTCTCTGCATTTTTATAAAGTAATTTCAAAGAAGTGTCTTGTTTTATTCTTGTTAAGTTGTAAATTGATTCCGGTAAATTTGATTTTTTATAATTTATGATTGCGTCATTAAAATTATTTTGTAAATGAAAAAATTTACCTTGCAAAAAATATTTACCATCACATTCTGGAATTAAATCAATTAATTTATGAAAAAAATCTTCGTTTATAAAATAATTTGCCATTTCAACCAAAGCATCCACATTCGTAAACCATTTACTTTTTTTATGCCCATCCAAACAATCTTTTACAAAATTAAAATTGTAAATTTCTGTTTTATTTCTAAAACTAAAATCAATTTTAAATTTAACATTTTCGTTCATAAATTTGTAATCTTCTAATTTTATTACTTCATTTCCTTTNATGTATTCGTTTAACAATCTAAGTGTTTTGTTATTAAAAATGTGTGTCTCATTCTTTAATAAATAAACCATTTCTAATCCTAAATCAAAATTAGTGTCNAAAAAAAATAATCTGGCATTTTCTAAATCATTAATTGACAAAAAAAAGAACCCTTTTAGTATTTTGTCAGCAAAAGAATCTTCTTTTAAGGTTAGCTCTCTTTTGTTCCTCGTTCTTATTTGTTCGTTTAAAAAATGAGAATTGNGAAGAGTTTGTGCGTTTTGTTGCAGATCTTCGGCAAAGTTCGTGTGTTTNATCACAAATTTGAGTATTTTGACAAAGTCGTCTTTTTTTGAGTGGTTGTAGTATACCATGCTTAGAGGGATCAGTTCACTTAAAGCACTACCACTTTCTGCTGAGTTAAGTACGTCTGTTAAGGCGTCGTTGGTTGGTAAATTGTTTTCGTCTATTTCGTAAATACCGAATTCTCCTAAGTTTATTGTTAACATAAAGGATTTCTAAATAAAATAAAATTATTATTTTTTTATTAAAATTATTATTTTTTATTTAAATAATTATTTTTTATTAAAATTATTATTTTTTTAATAAATTAAATAAAATTATTTTTTTAAAATGCAATGATTGATTTTTAACAATCAAAATTTGTTTGATGTGGTGACTAATAAAAATGGCGACTAATAAAAATGGGTTATTTTTTAAATAATTTAATATTAAATCAATAAAATAATATATAGAATAATAAAAATAGTAAAATTAATTAGATTAATTTATAAAAAGATCAAAACTTAAAAAGAAGNAGAAATCCATGACAAAAAGATTTAAGTAATTTTGGCTTTCACAATATAAATATATATCTATGCATTTTTTTGATTTAACAAAGGCATTACGAGAACAAATAAAAGAATATCAATCCTTTACGTTATTTTTAATTTTAAGAAAGACGTTTTTAAAATATTTTAAATTTAGAAAAGCTAAAAATTCCTATAAAAATGTGATTTTATACCTACTAATAGTCCTTCTCGCAAAGTTCTATTCAAAAAGACAAAAAAGCTTTCTCTTTTATTTTTTAGACTAATCTATAAGTAAAGTTTGTACAATTGGTTGTTTTGATAACATTTAAATCATAATATTTGATTTTTAATAGATTTATTCTTTTGTAGTATTATCGACCAATATATTTATTCAAATACTTATAAGGTTGATTAAAGATACTCTTTCCCGTTACGTATATACTTCCTCAATCTTTCGATTAAATCTTTCTAAACAATTATTTGTACTGGAAAAAATATCAAATGATTCGTTCCAATTAGAATTTTTTTCCAAATATAATTTCCTAAAGTCTTTGATAAAAATTAAAATATTTCTTAATTCTTTTTACTTTTTCAAAAACAACTTTACTCCTTCTTCAAATAGCGGTTCCAAGAAAAGCTGCTGAATAAAATATATATCATTTAAAATTAATTTTTTAAATTCTTTGGTGTCGGTAAGTTTAGCTGTAATTAACCTAACAATATGAGCCAACAGTTTGTTCTTTTAGCCAATGGAAAACATTTTTGAATTCCACTAGATATATAAGATGAATTATCTGCATTAATACCCTGGGTTCTAAGTTTATATTGTGAGCTCTGCGTTGATTTTTATAGAGGCCAAAACTTTGAAGTAAGGGTCTCTGGTTCTGTTTCAATTATAGCTAATGCAGTTAAAAAGAATGATTCGTCAAAATCGCTAAAACCCAGAACTATGACTGGAAAGTTACAATCATTTAACTTGTATGTTACATCTATGTGTATATACTTGACATTTTTTAATTTTTTTATAAGATTTATAGTTGAAAAAACAACAACTAAATGATTAAACTGTAAAACATTGCATTGAAAGCATTTTCTGAGGACTTTAAATTAATATTATTACAAAAATATTCTATTTCATCTGTAGTGAGCCCAGATTTATTTTGTTTTAATTGTTTTTTATAATTATTTAAGATGCTATAAATTTTCTTTATGTCTATTCTTTTAAAGGCGTTATACTCATTGTTCATGTTTTTGAATTCAAATTTCTTTTAATGTCATATTGTCTGATAATAATATTATTATAAATGTTCAATATTTCATTCTTATAAGAAGAAATAGAAAGTGGAATTAATTTGCATTCTTCTGAATGCTCATTATATTTATATCTAATAAACTTTTTTAGCGAAAAAAGAAAATCTATACTCATATGAGCACTGCACTCGTGTTTATAATTTTGGCACCTTATCATTTTTTCCTCACGATCTATGCATTTTCTTGAATTTATTCTCACCAATTGTCATGTTTTAAACTCCGCCGGCTCACCTATTAGCTCTTCGAGTGGTATCCAGGGAATTTTTTTGTGTTTTATCTTTTAGGTATATTCATGTAAATAAGGGTTTGCGATTTAAATATTTTTTTAATTTAAGGTTCAATTACTAACTTAAGGTAATATTATCTAATTTGAGTTTAAACAAGAAATAAAGGTTATATATTTACTAACTATTCAAAAAGCAGTTTTTAATTAAATTAATTGATAATTTACCAGATTTGTTAATTACTAATTAAAAATTTTTATTTCCAAAAATTAAAATAATCCCTTATGAAATTTAATATTTTAACAATGCTACCTTACGTTTTTTCAACTGTTGTAGATTTTGATTTCATTAATTTTGATCTAATTAGAGATTTAGAGCTCGAAATGTCAACAGATTCTATTTTAAATTTTTATGGTGTCTTAAAGGATTTAAAAGATCAAGACGACCAAATAAAAAAAGACAGTTTACTCTGTGATTATGAAAGTAAGAAAAGTGATGATTCCGGAAGATTGCCGTTTACAGATGAAAGGGGTCTTCCAGAGAACAAAAAAGCAAAAATTGAAGAAAAAAGTTTTAATTTGAAAGAAAAGGGTGTTTTAGAAAATAAGTTTTGTGATCAGATAGATAAAAAAGAAAGTCATGAAGATGTATTTACTAAAAGAAAATCAAAATCCAGCACCTTAGCAATTACTAATAAAGATTCTTCGTTGGTTTTAAAAAAGCCTATTAGCTTTTTAAATCAAAATTTACCAAATTTAGGTAATTTAAAATTTTCTAAAAGTTTAGATAAACAAGAAAATTTAAAAAAATTAGATGGCAGAAATTTAAAAGGTAACCAGATAGAGGTTCCAATTCGAAATGCTGCATTCGAACCTATTAATGATAAAAATATTCTTACAATGGAAATCTTGCAAGAACATGAGGTTTTAGATTTAGCAAATAATTTTACCTCTGAAGAAATGGATTTTGTAAAAAGTACTTTACAGGATTATAAAGA